TCAGGTATATATATGTATGCATGCATCAATGACAACCAGTCTGTTTGTTAAGAGGAAAGTGCCATCATTTCACAGCCAAGACAGAAAACTCCAGGAAACTAACAGAGGATTTCAAGGCAACGCTCTCCATAAAAAAAGTCTGGCTGTTTGAGTTTGGTGTCTGTCGGGGCATTCCCAGAAACATTTCAAAATTCCTCCCTTCCCAGTCATAAATAATTGGAAAATGGCTTAAGAATCTCTGATTTGAACATATCACTCAACATGACAAACATTTGCATCTTGATTTCAATATGGCCATACCAACAGATGTATAATTGTCTGTCCTTATTTCTCTATTTGAAACAATGCATACTACTTTCTTATTTATCAGTAAGTAAAAATAGCAGTGTATTGATTAATTTGTATTAAAAATAGCCAACATAATTATATACTGTGGGAATTCTTTTTGAATTACAGTACAAAATCTGCTAAATAATGCAAAAGGTGTGTATACAGACAGTCAAAATGATCATCTTGAAAATGGGTTCAGCCCACAATCACCCTTGATAAATATGTTACACTTCACTCATTTGATTAACGATAATACATAGTAATAAGTAAGTGTTTCTTTTAAATTACAACTACAGCTTAATTAACATTCTATTCAGGCTTTTAACATCCACATTTTACCTCACTGTCAGCTTCTACTTAATTTGTGAAAAAGCCTGCAGCTGTCAGTGTTTTTCTGACTTAAATCCTGGAAATCACCATGAACAGCTGTTTAACCTTTAGCCGAAATATTCAAGATACAATATAAATGTATGTCCATGTCTTGAAAGGGCATTCATGCCATCGGATACATTTTTACTGGGTTTATGCAGGAAGGAAATGAGCCCTTAGTCTTTATATAACTGCCTGACAATGCCTATATATTGAGCAATCATACAAGTAAACAGATTAGTCTGTCTGTCTATTGGCACCTTTGAGGTGGTAATAAGGCTTTAAATCAGCTGGAGCTGCTTCAGACTAGATTTTTAAAGATTCACCCCAATCCAATTATATTATATACACTATACACACACATACAGTATATGATAAATGTTCTCTATTTTGCCTATCTACATTTATTTTTCTGATGCTATACTCAACTATGTACAAAATATGATAATTGTAAATAAATAAAAGTTCATATTGGCAAGCAATGTGTTCCATGTAAGTGTGATTTTGAGAGACCGGATGCCATCTGGATATTTACCAGTAATTTTCAGGTATAGTAATTAGTAATTGTTATCGTACGTTTTCATTCTTGAACAGCTTCTCCATTGTATATAAGGACAACATTAAAAATTAATTTTTAAAGAAAACAAAAAACAAACAGATTAGTCTGACTTGTCCCATAAAATACATACATGATCGCAGTTTTTTATTTGTTTTTATTTAATGCCTGCATACATTTTTTCAGCCAAAAAATGTGCTTGTACAATACAGATTGAATTTTGACAGGCAAGAGGAGGTCCATACTGGATTATTGGACTCAAATGTATACATTAACTGAGATACATAAGGATTCTGTAAAAACAATGCATAACAGAGGTAACCAGGTTTTTATTTTTAATGTAAATGTTGTTTTCATCTGATTCATCCATTGAATATGGAGAAGCAAGGGTGCTCCCAGCACAATTCAGCTTCCTCTTACAGAAAAGGTATATGTGAAGAAGCTAATATAGCTATACCACATATCATAGGTTATATTTTTTCTGCTATCTTTGATATATAAATATCAAACATCATATAGGTAATTATAAGTAGCAAACAGTGTAACACAACAACAACATTTAATAAATCTTCAAATAATATGCTGTATAAACATTTTAAAATACACAAAGCTTCACTATTTTATGGAGATGTGGGATCAGGACAGATTGCCAACATTTGCTAAAACCCACTCCAGAGAAAACTGTATTTTTTTTTATGAAATGTGATGCGGTTTGCACCAGAAAAAAACATGTACAGCATATCATTTTAGTTTTTTTTTTTTTTTTAGAAATATACGTTTTTCTTGTTTTAGCAGTTTCCTTTTTGCTATTTGTTAAAATGACAGGAGAACCTCAAAAATACAGAGGCCCTCTGCATACTGCATTAAGAACAAAGAAACAGGTTTTGTTAATTAAATTCTTGCAGTGTCATCTGTTATGATGTATCAGGAAAAGATCAAGCATACCTACTTAACATTTTGTTCAGTCTATTGTAGAGAACATGCTCCTCCAACAAGATAATTATATCATGACCCACTTTACAGGAAAGACATTTCTTGTGAAGGATTTTAAATTGTTTCCCTGGTATGTCCATGAGCTGCGATTGCCTCTCCAGATTGTCGCATTTTAGATCATAAATGTATGTTTTGGTGAGGGTAGGGGTGTTCCCGCTGCATAGCGGTCCCCCGCCTATAATCGCCGGCCCAAACCAGCTACAAGAGAAAGGCTGCAGCACCGTGGACAGCGTCGGGCATGCATCCAAAACTTCAGGACCCCGGAGAGTGGCACTAGCTGCAGGAAAACACCAAAAGAGTCACACCTGAATAGGATGATTAGCAAGCCAGCCATCCCACATATGAGTACACACACACTGATTTGTTTATTGTGTATTTTTCGTTGGTTTTGTTGAACTTGAGCCCTAATCTATTTTTGTTTGTTGATTTTTGTGTTTAAATCTTTGAACATTAAAACAGCTTCACGCCCTTGTTGTGGAAACCCTCATGCCCTTGTGTCTCTGTGCCACCTCACTGTGCCAACATACCCCTACCGGCACCACAGTGGGGGAGAATGAGCGCAGCGCACTGAGTAATAGAAAGACAAAGCAACTTGCTGAGTTCAGGGATTTTGTACTGTTCTGACTGAGTAAGAGAGTGTATTGGACTTCGGATTTTTCTTCTGTGGTGTTTGTCTGTCTCTCCTGTAATTTTTTTCTAATGGATGAGACATGGGGGAGTTGATGAGGACCCTGGTGGAGTCCTGCCTGGCACAGCACTGCATGATCCAGGTCATGGCAGAGCAGATCTCCCAGCTGACGGAAGCGATGCACTCCCGCGGGGCAGGGGCCACCCCTCTTGCAGCCACTGCTAGCAAGGTGAAAGAAATTCTGGTGAAAATGATGGAAAGCGACATTCTTTTGAGCGGATGGCACAACAGGAGCTGTGGGACCCACTGGAGTTGGCCAACCTCATCGCCTTGTTCCTGACTGGACAGGACCAACTATGAGGTACGCCTTCGTCAAAATGATATGCCCAGCTTCCGGGAGCATTTGAGACTAACATGCACAGAGGTATGGTACGTGGGCTGTTTACCTTGCACAGCATACTGTATGCATTTTCATTTGGATAGGCCTTATCATTACCTTGCAGTTCACTAATATTTAGGCAACCATTTAAAATACTGAACATCTATAGATTTTAGCCATGGTCATAAATTACAGGAGGGAAGGGGAGGCCAATTCTACCCCCCCAAATAGTCATATCATCAAAATGGGTGAAGACCTCAACCCCCCCAATGTTCAACCCAAACTTACGCCCTTGCATGTCACTACCCATTGGGCAAACATTTTTCAGTGTCATTTGTACATCTCAAATCAGTTGAACATTTATTGAATAGAAATTCTAAAGGTTTACATTCACATTTTCATCCTCTGACAGCACACTTATTGCAATGTTAATACAGTCGACTGCACCAATTAGGGAAAACAGGTAATTACTGCAAATTGCCTTTTAATGTTTGCCTGCTCACCAGCTGTATAGTGGAATCTTATGTACTCGATCTCGAGCTCAGACGAATGATGCCATCCAACACTCTTGGTATGATATGATTGATTGAGGGTTGGGTTATACCCGAATGGTCCACTATTTCCTGCTGGAAATTCCCCGTGGCCAAGAACCCCAGAGCTCAGGACTGGACAGGACTTGCAGACAGGACTTGCAGATGGGCAGGTATTGGGTGGTTGCTATGTGTAGGGCGCTCCAGCGCCCGCCCCAATTTAGCACAGATTTCCAGGAGCACAGCTCGTGTTAAGCGAAACCAACTCATGAGCCAGTCATCACCATGGGCAAAAAAGTCCCTGAAGACACATTCCCATCGCATCATACCATTCGCTATATCTTATATCTACCAGTGCCAACACAGCCATGGTCATGCTATCTTGCTATCGCCACATGCTTTAGGTCTACTTATGCAAGCAAAATAAATTGATTAAAAACACACTGATTGCTTATATCTGTTAATTTAATCAATCATTTATTTATGAGCAAAAAAACACTAATTACAAATGATAATGTGACCTTAATTAATCAGAGGGAATAAGGAAACAACAGTGCAAATTCCTTTTGGTCTCTAGGGTGTGGTATTTACAGCAAATATGTGCCCTAAATGTACGTACGCACAGGTCAAACGTTGTGAATGGGCACACGCATCCTCACGTCAAGTAGAAGTTTTATAAATCCTGAATTATGTATGAAAATTAGCATAAGCTGAGCGTTTTTTGTGTGTGTACGCACCGTTTATAAATGAGGCCCCTGGTACACTGACATTACTTAATGACAATATGACGTCCTGTTTCTTGTTTGGCCTGTTTGGTTTCTCTTCCTGGAACAGTGTTATTAACATTGAATACATTCATCAGCATTAATTTGAATTGGCGTCAGGTGTGTTTTTTAATAGAATGTAAGATAAGCCCTGGGGAGATTGTACCAGGAAAACTTCCGTGGCCAGTCCAACCTATTTGCAGCCAATTGGCCCTACAGCTCCTGCATAAACAGGTCTATGGTCTTCAACTCTGCTGCAGTTTTAAAGTTCTTCATTGCTCTTCACCCCCACTGCCATCACCTTTTAGAGGGATTCCGCACCTTGCCCAATTGCTACCAACCGGTCCTTCAGCGCCTCGATGTGGCTGAGCGCCGAAGGTACGGTTTGCCGTCTATGACATCATCCCCTAGCACATTGAAGGGAGTAGGTAGACCTCGATAAGCAGGTGCAGTCACAATAGCGCAGCGGTTAGCGCAATCGTCCCTTTAAAGGGTGAACGAGAGGCTGGTGAGTTCGAATCTCACCTTGTGACATGTTTTGTGTTCTCTAAACTGAAGGAGTTGGCATTACCAGTAACATGTTACCTGCCCAGGTAAGATCCACCTATCCACACAATCCCGTGCTTAAAAATAGATATACAGATACAGGACGACAAATCCAAGCTATCTTTTTAGCGCTCTTATTCTTCAATGAACACATCTCTTAACACATACATTTCCAACAACATTATGTTTTCAATAAATACACTTTACTATGTGTATATTTTTAAAGTAGACAGTAAGAAATACAAAGAAGAACAATAAATAATTTAATTAAATCTACAAATCAAGAACATGTACTAAATAGTTTTCACATCCATATAGTAAATCTACATTATTAGTAAATGAACAAAACAAATACTTTTGATCACTGCGTTAGTATTGGCATAACTGAATTAATACTTCACTCCCTATGTGTTTCACTTCATATGCATTTCACCATCTCTACATTCATTACATTTTATTTTAGGCATGGTAAAACCTGACCACCAACCTTGATTTGGGACTGACTCAAGACCTTATGAAGATCAAATAAAAATTTAAATATGAATATCATCCCAACTTCGTCATACCAAACCTGTCCTTAAAGTAGAACTCACAAAACAAATCAGCTGTAGATTGCAAGCTGTAGTTTTGTTTTAAAAAAAAGAAAAACAAAAAGAAAAAACTATTAACTCACCTTTAGAACTCTGACTCAGGTAAGGATCAGCAACTCAATAAATAGAATATATATGCAGTGAGTGAGCTCTCCCTGGCAGCAGTAGCAAGGCAACACCCTTTGATGGAGTGGCAATGGATCATGCAAATAATTTCCCTGAAGGAAATTTGCATATGTTTCCAATGGGACTGTCAGAAAAACAGCACAAACAATCAACTATTTTATGTGTTTAATGTGTGTATCTATACCGGTGATGGATTTGGGTTCTTCTGTAAAGAATCAATAGAGGTCCCAACCTCACTCACATTGATTTTCTCCATTTTTTCAGTATACCATTAAGGTGGATGAAGAGGGCATGCCAAATATACTGTACACCTGGTACATGCTGAAAAGATGTTTGCATATTTTTTCATTTATTTACAATATGTAAAACACAAAGAATTGTCAACACTTCAAATGTCATTGCTTCAATGTCAATGGGCAAATAACTTGGATTCAAAATTTGCTGGAAATCCTATCTTAAAAAAATGGTAAAAAGGTATCAACCACAGGTTCAGAGAGGTATTACACAAAAGGTGTTTATGCTTGAACCCATATGCCACAGTCAGAATACATACAAAAAGAAAAATCAGGATGTGAAGGCATCACTTGATCACTGACAGAACTACCCATGTGTACTCATAGCTATTTGCCACATTATTTAGTGTTGTTCATATCACTCATCTTCCAAAGCTTTGTTGTTAATGTCTGCAGGGACACTTCATTGTGTGTGAAATGGCCAAGTTTTTGTGTCTGTCTTTGTACTTTATATAACGAGAGTTTGATCCAAAGGTTCCAGTTGTGCAGGTTTACCATGAAACGATGCAACAGCACATCAATAAGTCAGCAAACTAGATCGGTGACATTCCTTTTTGCGGAGGAAGACACAACAGCAACCAAATAGCAAAAGAAGAAAGGAGAATTGTGCAAAAACAGTGACAGGTGTACAGGAGCAGTATTCACAATATACACAATCTTTACATACAGGGCTCAGCAATCAGTCCTATCATAGTGGGCCCAGAAATTGATGTTAACCCTCAGTGCAGCGTACAGTGGCCCCTATCTCACCTTTCCTGCCTCAGAGTGGCCGAAAGGCTGGCACACAACAGGTAATTATGAGGGGAAGGCTACACTATCAATAAACAGGGGGACTAACAGATCACAAAAACAAACACAGAACTACAAATCCCAGAGACAAGCAGCACATGCAGTACAAATAAATTAGTTGGCTTTTTTTGCTCCCTGGAACTGTTTGAATGGGGTGTTTGAAAAATGTATTCATCCTCTGACTGGTAGAATGAATGTCAGGCTGCAGCGAGGAAATGAAGATTGGCACCGGTGTGTGTGTGTGTGTATACATACGTACATAAATACCTAATAATATATTTCTTGACTCAATTGTTTATTAACATTGTTATATAAGCTGAGATATATTTTTTAAATAGTCATAATAGCAGCAGTATGTTCATTACATTTCAGTTTTAAACCAAACAATGCAACAGCACAGTAATGCAACCACAAAGCAAAACATCTACATTCTTCTTTCATCAATCATGATAATTATATCTTCCAACATGTGACCAACCAAACAGGAAAAAAATGAGAAGGTAAGAATGTAAGTTCAAGTTTTCCATTACGGTGATGGAAATAACTTCATCTTCGGAGAAAAACAATGACTAAAATCATTTGTCATACTTACCCTGCTAAATAAAATAGATTTTATACAAATCTGGCCCCTAGATCTCAACATCCTTCATACCTGTAATTCTACAACCCCAACAATTTTGCTGACTGACCACCAACTGGCACAACTGATGCTAATGAAGATGAATGTGTTTTGATGTCATAATTTAATGTTTTAATTTTATTTAACCTCTATTTAACCAGGTAAAGTCTCATTGAGATTAAAATCTCTTCTACAAGAGAGACCTGGCCAAGAAGGCAGCATAAAAAAACATATCACAAAGACAATATGAAAACATCAACCCTTCTGTCACAATAGAACCTAATTAAAAAACAGAGCACTGGAATTATACAATTTAAGTGACAGTACATAATACAGATTTTGCTTTTTTGATAAAAGATGTGCATCTGTTTCTTAACTGTCTGAAATGGAGCCAGTTAGCCTCAGTTTTAAGTTTCCGTGCCCTACCCCAGGCAGCCTCCCTTTCTTTAAGAAGACTGGACAGCTCAGAGGAAAACCAGGGATTGTTACGACCTTTCACTCTGAACTTGTGAAAAGGAGCATTTTTATCCATAAAAACCATTTTGAAAGAAATTGAAAAAAGGCTTGTTCACAAAAATGTTTTAGGTCTCTTTTGAGGAGAAATTATGGCCTTGCCTTAGGTATCTTAGCATTTCTAACTGCTGCTATAACACAATGGTCACTCAGATCATTTGCAAAAATACCAATATCAGAGTATTTATGAGGTGCATTTGTTAGTAATTAGTAATTTGTTAGTAATTTGTAATTAAGTCAAGCAAGGAGGATTTTTCAGGACATTTAGGGTTTGGATGGATTGGGCCATCAATTAACTGCATAAGATTAAACGAATCACAGACAGTTTTAAAGCTTTCTGAGGCTGAGGATAGCCAGTCCCAATTTAGGTCACCAACAAGAAGAATCTCATTACAGTCAAACCTGGATAAATATTGGGTTAAAGAAGATAAGGTCTCAGTACATGCTGAAGGGGGTTTATAACAACTAATAACAATAATAAACTGACCACGAGTAAACTCAATCTTCAGGGCTAAAAATTCAAACTGTTTGCTGACAGATATTGATATTATTATGCTTGACTGAAAGTTATTCTTTACATATATTTCAATACCACCACCCTTCCTGGGGCGGTCACAACGAAAGACATTACAGCCCTTAATTGAAATGTCTTTCAGTATTATTATTCAAGTTAACGAATTTGGTATGTCTAGCATCATCTCAGTATTACACCAATATTAAGTCAACGGATACCGTTTTTTTTTTAAAGCTTTATAGTTTAAAACAAGTATAAAGCGTATATTTAGAAACGTACAAGCAACCTGGCCAGTATTATTCAAGTTACCAAATTTGGTATGTCTAGTTTAAAACGTAGATAATATTTAGAACGGCAAATCCTTACCGCTGAAGTAGTTCATACAATTCAATGATACATTAAAACAGTTTGTGAGCCGAGCAGCGGCCGTTAAAATTGTTGCTTAGTAACGTTAGCCACATTAGCATACTCAACATTTCACCAAAGTTAAGTCAATGGAGGCCATTTTTTTTAAAGCTTAATAGTTTAAAAAGTATGAATCGTATAGCTTGGAAAAATACAAGCAACCTGACCGGTGTATCCACGCCTCTGGTGGCCAAGTTTGGTATGTCTAGCTTAAAAACTGTAGGAGGAGATACGTCCGGAAGAACCAGGAATAATAATAATAAGAAGAAGTCAAGATTCTATAGATTCATATAGTATAGAAGAACAGTAGTTTGCGCCTTCGGCAAGCAAACTAATGAATTGGCCCAAGTTCTAACAGAATCCAGTTTAGGAAGAAGGCTTCGAGCATTTATATGAATAAGACCGAGACCAGACCTAGAATTAAAATCTTCAGTCAGGAGTACTCAAACAGTTAAGAACAGGACCAGGGTTTGGTTGAATATCACCTAAGAGTAAAAGCGAGATAATACATTTCTTTTTAGTGGTATTTAATGGCAACACTGGTTGATTACATTTGTGCTTCAACCTTAGGAAAACAAAAGAAGAAAATGATAAAAACCAGTCGTGCAGACCAAGGTAACTAATAAGTTGATTATAAGAGTGACGGAGCCCTCTGTGGTTTGTGTATCCCACAAGCGAGTGCGGCAAGCGAGTTCGGCATAGGACTGGAGATCCAGTTTGTGCCCGTGCTGCCATGAAGTATTAGAGGGGACTCACCGTTGGCTCTGTTCCTTTGGCTCACCTCATAGGGAACCAACACATAGAATAATATCAGCAAAGGCAGTAGGCAGTATAAGAGTCATACTGAAACAGGAAACAAGTCAGGACACAGGGAAATCAGTAGTCGACAAACCAGGGCCAGTGGGGCTTTAAACCGCACCAGGTTTTTTTTTTTTTTTTTTTTTTTTGAACCGCACCAGGTTTTTCTTCTAATAGCGCAAGTCGTGGGGTCGCGTGACGTCACCTTATAAACAGGAAGACACTGGATTCTCGGGGTGTCACAGTAAAATCTCAGTTCCACAGCACGGACGAAATGTCCAAGACTCAAACGAGCTAGCCAGCTCTTCGGTCCGCTGTAAAAGATATCCTTTGTAAGATTG